GGGGCTTTATAGCTTTGAATTCTATATGAGAAACTATATACACGAAACAGTCAGCCTGTGAAATGGATAGGTTAATTTCTCCTTTCTGTTCAATTTGATGCTGTGTTCTTTAGCAGACATTATAGTAAAGTATCAGATATATAACTTGGCGCATCGGGAACAATAATGCTAAGATCGGCGTGCCATCTGGTGACAGGCATGGTCAATTTTAGTTATTTTACATATTATTTGGTTGGATACTTCGTTTATAAAAAGACCATTTTAAAAGTAACATCCCTATCTGATATACATTGTGCTCGACCAATGCAATATTAAGAGTTTCTTTTCGCATTATAAAACCCCACCTATAATTACTGTATTCATTAAATTGTTGACAGTCCTATTAATGTAAAATTATGAATGTTTTTATATGTAGATAAAGACATAGATATTCTGTCCAAATGTGATTACATCGAAATACTTCAGAGCCTTCTAAATATACATAAATAAAAACAACCAAATATAAGAACATTTTCCATTATTCCATAAGAAAACGAATGTCAAAATTATATGCACCATAACCTTTCAAAGCTGGCCTTTTACTGCATGTACAACTTCAAAATCATGAGAAATAAATAAAATATAATTTTAATATTAGATCAATAATTAGAAAATCAATTATGTTTGATTTAATTGTCACAAATTAAAACAACACATAATCAAAAATTGTATGAATTTCTGATTACAGAGCATAAATCAGAATCGGTAAATAGTGAGATATTGCAAGAAATCATTTAGTGTAAATGACACTACGTTTTTAAGTGTAGAAAGTAAAAAATTTTGTATAAATCGGTTGTATTAATTAAGTTTGCTACAAAATTCCTAGTTAGTAAGTTTGCTGAAGTCATTGTAAATTTATTGTTTGTTCAAAAGGGGACTTGAAACTCGCGTATCATATAATTTACAGAAAAACTATGTTAAAATAGTGCATTTGTGTAAGTACAGAATTCCTGATTTAAAAAAAATAAAATCAAAAATTGTTAAAAATGCCAATTCGAAAACATTATTTTATATTATTCTTACATATATTGTAAGTTATTTACAGATGTAAAAGTTAAAATATCAATTTAAGTCTAGATTTTATTAAAATCTAGATTGTGTTCACAATAAAGTGTGAATCTAGGATATTGTTTGATTGGTTCATATGTTAAGACTGGTAATTATAAGTTTGTATTTTAGCAGTCTGCTAATATGTTATTTTTAAATTAATCATAGATCTCGGATATATTATTTTATTGGATTTAATTTTGAAATGCTGCCATGTTAAATAATATGTGTGATGGTGTGTTATAGCAATGTCTATACTGATAAAACAGCTGATATTGGTTAGTTAGCATTTAATATGTAAATATTGCATTAGTTTCTATCTTAGAGAACTAGTGTAAGTATGAATTGTAAGAAACATATAATTTCAAAAGTTTTAATTTTGTACATTCAGTTTTAAACAATTTGGCTACAAATTTTTCATATGAAAAATAAAGCAAGATGTAGATTTTTTTAACAAATTAAGTTCTCGAAGCTTTGAGCTTTTGTAAAATATATTTCAGAATAAAGTTGTTAAAATATTAATGTTGTTTGAATTGCCACTTAACGCAATAGTGTTTTTACTGCTGTGACACATGTATGAGAACATATTGTCAGACATAACACTTTTTTTATACAAATTGTTGCAGAACAGAAAGGTAAGATATAAATTCAAATTATCCAGTTTTATCAGGAACCCTTCAGATTTGTTTAGCAAAAAAAACACATTTTGTAATACAAAATCTTATAATCATCAATTTGGCTTATTTTAATGGATCATTTTCAGTCAATGCAGAAATCTCGCTTCTTATACATAGTACATTACAATATTACATTAAATATATCACAAGTATATAACTTTAGCAAAAAAACGTTAGAAAGTATTTATAGAAAAAAAGAACAATTCCGTCATTTTAAGAGATTGAAATGAAAACAATTGGAAAATCATTAAGAATAGAAGTTGGTGAACTATAAAAAATACATAGATTCTACACAAGAGAAATGGAAATTACATAACATAGCTTTAAATTTGATTGATACAACTGAGTTTCCTTACTTAGAATCATTAAAATAAAATAAACAATATTCAGAAAGACAAAAAAAAACAGCTTTTTTTCTCAGCCTATTTAAGTAAATCATATTTGATTAAACATAATTTCTTGATGCAATTTTCTAGTCTATAAAGCATCAAGTGATAGTAAATATACAAGTGTTTACATAGTTGGAAAAAATGTCCACTGGCCTGCAGTAATCATATTTCAACAATAAACAATTATTACTTAAAACTATATTGTAGTTAAATTGGTTACTTTACATATTGACTTGCACCTGCTTTTGCCAGCTGGTCTGCCATCTCATTGCCATGAACTCCTTTGTGTGCTTCCACATAGATCCACTTTATTTGCAATTTATTCTGAATTTCATCTAACTCCTTAAAGTCCTTCTCATTCTTTACTGGTTCGCCTGATTTCAGTTTCCAACCTTTTCGTTTCCACCCTATAGACATAGGTAAATGTTGAAAAATTGTATTTGTAGTCAAATTGTGGAAAATACCAATGGCAATTTTATAACAAATGGTTGTAGATGAAATTCTCTATTTTGTTTGGAGATCTAGCACTGTTCTTAAAGATAATTTTTGGATATATTTATCATATAAATAATTGTAAATAATTATGATATAGAATTAATACATATATGTCTTGTAAAAAGAAATTACTTAAAAACCTTGCTTACCTGGCATCCATTTGGTAACAGAGTTGATTAGAAACTTCGAATCAGTGTTTATGGTCAATTTTTTTACTTTATTCTGAAGGGCAATTTTAATAGCGGAAGTTGCAGCCTGAATCTCTCCGCAATTGTTTGTTGCACGGCCAGAGACAGGCTCGCTCACATTTAGTGGGTGACCATCAGCCCAATATACACCTATACCAGCTCGGGCTCCATTTCGACCATTTGATGAGCAAGCACCATCTGTATATACCTGTTACAAAAGTTTCCATCGACACCAAGTAGTTATATGAAAAGTAATTTAACAGTTATTTAGTGCTTTTTGTCTATCCAACTGTAGCAAAATTAATTAGCTTCTATTTAAAATTTCTTACCTGTACATAACCATCTTCATCTACAACAAATTCAACTTTTCCACTTTTGTGTTTCTTTGGTTGTGGTATATCAATTAGAATTGTCTGTTTGTCACTTGATTTAGTACCTTTCTTTATTATTTTATTTACATCTTTTTCAAAGTGTTTCAGCCTTTTTTCAATATCATCCATTTGTTTTGTTAAAACCATGTTTAAATCATCTTCATCGCTGTCTGTATCAATATGATTATCAGGTGTTTTCGTTCGTTTTCTAGGAGGTTTAACCGATTTCTGAGTATTGTGTTGTATCGGCGCATTTGCGGCTTTAATTATTTTCTTTCCGTTAGCAACATTTTCAGGTTTTTGAGAACCACCTTCGGATATTATGAATTTTTCAGCGTCAGCGGCTGTGTTGAACTTTTTATAACGAGCTCCAGGGAATCCCTTGACCTGTGTTTCACAATCAGCCCAATTCATAAATATACCCGAAATTCGCCCTCGCGCTACCGCATAATAAGGCATCTTGGAAATAAATAACGTTTTAAAAGATGACAAAAACCTAACGTTAAAGTAGGCATACCTTAATGACATTGACATTTGTCTGAAATGTTTCTGATTTCTCACTTTGTGTGTCAAAGATTTGTCTATGGCGGTGTTCCAGTTTACACTTTATTCTGTAACAATTTAAAAGTTTGTATGTTAACGCTAACATCAAAATACGAGATATTAATTATATAAATGTTTCGGATTTGCCGGGATCAATATTATCAAATCTTCATGTTATTGTGACAATTTATTTACAGAGCCACACGTTTAAATGTGATTATAAGCAAATATGTTTGTATTTAACTGCTTTTAAACTGCACTCTTAAGATTTCTATATTAGCAAAAAGTACTTTTAGTAAATGGGTCTTTTAGTGAGGGTAAAATGGAAACCTATATCTGGAGACACTAGGTATAATTATTGACTATAGTATTTTGTATTCATAAAATACAACAAAATATCCACTGCATAAACCAAATGTTTGGAAAAGGTAAAACATTCTCGTTTTAACAAAGTCCTCCTTGTGATTTGCTTCGGGTCATTGTTTTTTTTTTTTGAGAATGCAAAACTATTTTTGCATAAATTATAATCTGTGTAGGATGTGTATATTGTTAGGCTAAAATTAGGCCGTGCCGTTAAATTGACCTATCCGAAAAATTCTTCAGTATTGTACCTAATCGTTAATTGTCATTTAGGTATATGTATTATGTATTGTCTGATGTAATAAATTCAATAAAACACATAACTAAATACAATAATGTTCTTTATTAGGATACTTAACTAAGTCTGTCACCAATATTATCATAATATTGTTAACATTTTAAATCTATGTCACCACAAATATTTTGTCACAGAATGTTTTTTGAAGTTTTTTTATTACACTACGGTGTTAAAACAATAACCAACTATATATTATAAAATTGTCAATGTCTTATGTAAATAAGTAAAAGTAATTTTAATCATTTCATTGCAGATGAAAAAAAATAATTATTAAACAGTATTTCGTATATGTGGGTCGGCAGTGTTGATAAAATGATACCGATATAATTACATAAACCTACAATAACATTCATGTCTCTCATTTTTTACACACAAATACATAACACTGAGTTATTAAATTACAATATACAAAGAAATATCCAACCGAATGTGTTTTTATATTACTATTATATTATTAACCGATTATATTTTTTAATATACGTTTTTAGCCGAATCATTTGAATAAATAAATTACGTCGAAATCCAACATTAAGTTTACTTGATATTTATTCAAAGAAACAAGTTGAAATCATAATTATTACATTACAGGATATTAATTTACAAAACTGATTTAATAATGTAAAAACACGCACTATTTTTATAACCGATCCACATTAGGCTGACAACAATATAGAATATATTATAAAATCGTAATCAAACTGAGTAAATGGCACTATTCATAAATGGCTTGGGGTTTTTCCGATGGAAGATACAGTTCAATATTGCTAAAGTATTGCAGATGATAAACGCAAAAGTTGCCAGTTTATACTTATAATAAATAGAATGTACCTAAATTCATTAGTAATTAATCACCATTTTTAATTATAAAACATTTAGATCTATAAAAATTCGGTAACTTAATAAATATAACTACGAACTAAATTAACTAAGTCTTTAACAGCTAATGTTAAAAGTACTAGTATAGGTACTTTAACAAAATTTTATTATAACAAAAAAAAATTAACTTTAACATGAAACAACGTATTAATAAAATTTATTAAAATATGAACAATGGTTTTGGTTGCTAATTGGTAAATGATTAATGTTTATTGAACAGATCACAATAAACAATACGCTGCAACGAATTTTACAACAATTTTTGCAAGAAAGAGACAGCAATAGCTGTCGAATTCTGTATTATATCCAATTTGGTAGAGAAATGTATTAACATTTGGAGAAAAATTCCGCAAAGAATTGAATTCAAAACACAAAAATTCAGATCAGGCCAACTTTGCTCGGGTAAGATCCTGTGATCTTCACAACAGAGCTACCAGCTACGCTTATTATGGTTTTATTATTGAAGTGACTAGTTTAATATTAATAAGCAAGTTTTTATTGGGAGATTCGTGCATCTTTATTATTTAAAAACGTAAATAGATTCATAGGCACAAGATTTTTTAATTTACTTCATTAGTAAATATTAACTATTAAAATGGTCGCAAGAACGCGAAAATCCGATTTTATTTATAAATAATCACAACGTCATTAGATAGTTACACTTTACTAAAATTCAAGTCGCGAAGACTCCTATTATCTAAAATCCACTCTTTGATTGTGGCAAACTGTTTTTTACGAAGTAACAAAAGTTTTTTTTTCTGTAATGTTGACATTTTGCGAACCAGCACCCTGCAGACTAGATACAATATTCAACTAACATAAATCTACAAGCATATTTACAGCTGCCATTTAACTGCTTAATTAATTAACATTGGCAAATGAAAATAATTAACGGAATTTATTAAAAAAACACAAAAATATAGTATAATAAAAAAAAATCTTGGATAAATTTTGTTAGCTTGGTTTTTTTTATCAACATAATGAATAGAAATTAAAAAAAAAACATATTTGGTCACAAAAATTCAAATCAAGGAACTATATTTTAGTACCAAACACTCCTTACTCTAAAAAGTAATTTACAAAAGAAAGTTTTGACTGCTTACAATGAAATTGTAAATCGAATACGATTTTCCATGAATTATGGCCAAATTAGAAACTCAACGTTAGTCTAGACAGATTACAAACAACTAAAAATCCATTTTAATTTATTTGCAATGTATAACTACTAAATGGAAGCGACGCTAACCTAATTAAACCTTTTCCTTTAATTTAGCTTTTAGACCTCAACTCGTAAATGTGTCCAAACAAAATCATAATTACTTAATGTATGACAATTTGATACAAAATCTAATGTGTATAAAGCATTTTACAATATTCATAGTTATTTAATACAATTATGCACATGCCAGCCATTAGCAATTTAATTTAGCTTGTTTGCAATCAAAAAATAAATTAGTATTACGTACCACTATCATCAAACCTTATCAAAAATACTTTATTAATTTCTAAATAACCTGTGCGTGTTTCTTTTTTAAACTTACGGTTGTGTTCTTTCTAAACGTTGACCAAACTTTGGTCGTGTTATTTTTTAACTCTAGTTCAATACAATTTTGTAATAAAATAATTTTTAATGTGGATGGAGCTATGATATGAGTTACTTATGACGGAATAATGATGAAGCATGATATAATTTTTTTAATCTACATTTTTTATGGACTGAAACTTGTTTTCATTTATCGAATTTTATTATCGATAGCTTCATTTTATTTATGCATTAATTTGTGGAAATAAACGCTTTAATTAAATTATTAATCACATTCTAAATCCTTAATATGTAATATGTTGTGGTGGTATAGATTATAACAAATTAAATAACATTTGATCTTAACACAAAAATGGTTTTTAGGTTAAGAATCGTACAATCTCTTCATTACGTATTAAAAGTCATGCAAGTGACAGTAATTCATAAATTAACTTTGAGACAAATATTGCAGTAAAAAATAACAAACAACTGTAAATTACATAAACACTAATAAAATGCTGAAAAAAGCAAGCGAAGTTTTTCAAACCTGTTAGAAAATGGTTTTCACAATATCTACTTTCACACTATTCTATAAAAGTGTCCATTACTGAATTGTCTAGTTGCTACGTCACGAGGCACGCATCGCCCGCTAGGATACGCTGAAAAAATAGTTCTCTCTTCTAATAAACGTTCAACGATTATACTATAAAGTCATTAATTGCACTCGTTAGCAGCGCTCTTTGGTTACACTGTACAGTGATACAATCCTAGGAATCAACACAAACACTTGATTCTTGTTAACTAAATTCCCAATGTTACCAACGTTACATCTAAATGGAACACTCGTCACTGTCGCGCGCGTAGTCCTCGTCTTCTTCGTCATTCCCGGAACGTCGGGGACTATTCTTTTTCACTTTACCGGATACCACACCGGTATTTACTTTACTAAACAAACTGCTACGGTTCAATCTCGATATATCTCGTTGCGGGCTCAATCGTTCAGCGATCGCTCTTTCGTAGTTATCGGAGATTTTGTTGACACCGTTCACTGGACTGGTGACAGGTGATTTATTGATTGGGGTTTTGATAGGAGATGTGGCGGCTTTTTTAATTTCACCAGTCTTGTCGAACGCCCCACTGGTAGCCGCAGTGTACGAGGGTGGGTCTTTCGCGCGCGCACCCGTTGGGTTGAGTAGTTGCGAGTATAAAAAGCTATTATTGCTAAAACCGGAGTACCGGTTATCGACTTTTCCGTTCATCATCAATAAGCTGACCGGTTTTTCCGGTGGTATCGGTTTTTCGGTTTTTCTATCGGGTAGACCGTTCTTGGCGTTGTCTGGTTGGTTTGGCCATCTGTTAGCGCCGCCGATGGAGTAAATAGAACTAAGATTGACGAAGCCGGCGGCGGGCGCGGCAGGCGCAGTGTTGGCGGCGGGTGCTGCGGCGGGCTGCGGGCGCGGCGCGGATTGTTCTTTGCCGCGGCTGACGACGCTGGCAGCGCTCTCGCTGAGCGTAGACTCTTCCACACTGGACTCCTCCGCAACCTCAGTGTTTGTGATCTCGTCTATATTTGGTGATAAACAATCTTCATCGGTCTCATCGTATGAGCTGAAAAGACGAGCGTAAGTTTAATAAAATATGCTGGCGTATCGCAGGGACATGTTGTAAAGTATATGTACTGAATGCAACTTGTATTTTGAATGTTAGTATTACTTCATGCCTGATCAAATGCTGATAAGTTTGGATATTATTTACAAAACAAAAGCTCAAAAGTTCTCATGTGTTGATATGGATAATATAATATGTACAGATTAAAAAAAGTTTTCATCAGTAAGGCAGACGAAGCAGCGGAATTTATGGCAAAAAGTGTTTCAAAGGAATTCACAAATTGATCAAATCTATGCGACCGTTCGTTGGGATATTTTAAATATTAAATGCATTGTTGTTTTATAAATTAAATGCAAGATTTTCACACGTATAAGCGACAAGTCAACGAGGTTCAAAATGCAATTCCTTGCGACAAGCAAGGCAGTTGAATATAACCGTAGAGTTTCACTACCGAATCACTCGAACAGAAACATGTTGTTCTCTCTCTTTCTCTTCTAAAGATAAAAAGAGTCAACAACAGGATATGTAAATGTGTTACCGCAGTAGAAACTCACGGTATAAAAAGCTTTATAAAGCGGTGTCGGAGTTTACAGGGTATAAGATGTCGTAGACACGACTAATGCAATAAAATGACATACACATACACGGCAATTCACGAACACATTCTTACCCTAGCATAGCCAGTTCTGTCTTCCTCCCTGATGAACAAAATTATAATAATAATGAACAAAATAAAATAAATAATGGTTATAATAGATAGAAGATAAATATATATGAAAATGATTTACATATAATATGAATATTGGACAGAAAATACAGTATAACGATGTATATTCGTAACAATGATATTTATTTAATTTGATGCATTCAGAACATATTTTTGTAATACACAGCACAGTTGGTATGTTATTCATTTTGCAAATACATCAAAGCAGTGTGGCTACAAGATTTATCATACGAGTATAGTCATTTTCAAATGTGTTAACGGCTCGTATCGCGAATCGCGCAGAACACAGTTGTAAGTGTGGCGTGCGATGCGCGATTGACCTTGAGCCATCATGGTATTTGAAAAGAACTATAAAATGGACATTTGTGCTTCACAATGCAGGATGTACATACTAAGTACGTGTGCGTTGTCTGATGCGATATAGTATTTATTTCTACTTTACCGCGCGGTATCATTTATTTGAAATATCTATATCCGCTAAGTCGGCTAGCTCGGCACAATTCATTGAATAAATTCGCACACCTCTGTTTCTCTGCGTCTTTTATTATTTTATACAATTGCCTGTTTAGCGAAAAAAATAAAAATTATAATAACAGTTAAAGAATAATCTCGTTATAAGTAAATGTTATTTTATCTTACATTTGGTCTTGCGCGTCGCTCCCTCCTTCCTCTGCCACCAACAGCTCGTATTCCTCGGCGGCGAATCTATCCCATTCTGACATCTGTAACATTAGGAATAGAAGCTTTAGTCGGTTCTATTTTGTAATACAGTAGTAACTTTCTTTATATTGTGGAGAGACATTTGTTTCAAAGAGTAATCACTACGAGCATTTTAATTGTAGAAAAATGAATTTGGTCTAGTGATTTAATTATTTTTCAAACACAAACAAAAAAGACACAATAAGAGCGTACACAACTTCAACTAAACTATCGCACAACTGTAGTTTCGGTGTGATTCTTACGAGCTTGTATGGAGGTACACAACTCGATTTTTAGTTGTGCAACTAAACAGTTGAATTGGCTGCGAAACAATCCGACAATCGCACAACTGTAGTGCGAAAGTCAAAGGTGAGCTCTCTCTCTAACTGTATCTAAATAAAATGATTCTAATGGTTTTTAGTATTTTACTGATTTTAATACTGACCTCTGAGTCGGAGTCCCTCTGCGTGGCGAAGGGGTCGCGTTGCTCGTGGTCGAGGTACTTCTCCAGGTTGAAGAATGTGTCAAAGAAGATCGGCGTCAGCTTGCACCGCTTCAGATCTGACAGTGTTATCTTGCCCTCCTCCGCCGGGTGCACCATGTCTAACATCTAACATAAATAATTTATTACATAAATGATTATTGGAGTTTAAATACGAAAATCGTATGGATATTGGAGAAAAAAATTAACTTTTGGAAGATTTTACTAAAGCAGTGATTATTATTAAGCTAACATTTATTGTTAGCACCTTACTCATTTTTAAATAAATGTTTTATTTTTATTTTTAATAACAAATATGTAAGAATAACTGGCAAGTTAACCCTTTTCTGCTGTTGTTACAAAAACATTCATATCTTTGTTTTTTTTTTTAAACAGAGCAAGAGGAAAGGCAAATAATATAAATTTTATGCCAGTATTATGCGTTAAATTTATAATAGTGCACAAATACTCTATAGTCAATTGTAAATAGTTACGTGGTATACCTGACATAAGCAGTCATTGAAGGGCAGTGTTTCAATTCCGATGGCCTCCATACGCTGCATCTGCTCCTCGTAGAAGTACTCCAGCTCGTACATCGATATGTACCCGTCACCGTCAATGTCCATACATCTGGAATATGCATAATTTCACATCAGTTTCCTTAAAAAATCAAACAAAAAAAAAATGGGACCCACCTGCAAGCATTACCTTTGGGATAAAACAGAATTATCAAAATCGGTCCACTAGCGGCGGAGTTATGCCGTCACACACATAAAAAAAATAAAAAAAAACATACAGACGACTTGAGTACCTCCTTCTTTTGGGAAGTTGGTCATAAATGAAAACGCTTATGTCACTCCTAGAAAGAGTACAAACGGAATGACTTAATTCAAACAACGGAGCCTTATATTCGAGCCAAAAGATTGATCCAATAATTGTTTTAATTACTTTCCATAAGAGGCGGTAGAAAAATGTACTGATCACCTTATAGACGATGAAATAAGATTTCTCTTTACTCTTGAGATTAAATTACCTTCAATAAGCAAAAATGGATTGAAATATATTCGAGTTCAATTAGTTTATGTAAACTTCTAATTAAAATTATGTAACCGTGATTAAAGCCATAAAACTTACGAAACAAAAGTGAAACTATAAAACAATAGAGAAGAGGTAATTTAAAAATTAAAATCATTTAAATTGGAAGGCTCATATGTGGGGTTAACAGCACGGTATGGTAATGACCTCTTACGTGACTCCTATCAGAACTTTCTCAAGTGCCATCACGCATACAATGCCTACGTTTCACAACACAATCTAGATTCTATATACACAAGGCGAATAACAAACGTGCGTTTGAAGGTCAACAACCAGAAAGTATTAAGAATGAATGTGGATGGCTACAAAGGAAGAGGAAGACCGAAGAAAGTATGGATGGATTGTGTGAAAGAGGATATACTTAAGAAAGTAGTGGATTCAGATATGACGGCTAATAGAGATGTATGGAAGAGCAGCACATGCTGTGCCGACCCTCCGTAAGGGATAAGGGCATTGATGTTGATGATATTGGAAAGTCAACATTCGTACTACTACTTTCTTTGTTCTTAAAATGCGTTTTACAGCTTTATCTGAATGTATTTATTAAAAATTAACAGAATAGTTTATTAAAGATTAAATGTAACAGAAGCTTTCGAAATTTTAACCAACTCTACGGTGTCTGGTTTCATTGAGATAATCAATAACTAAGATGGTTTTTCCACTAAGACATCTTTCTACAAAACGCAATTTTAATCGCGCTGCCATACTTCCATGGCAGTCGTGACCGACTAATTGTAAAACTAGTGGAAAACTATGTGGGTTTATTGAACTATGAGTAATCTGTACGGACCTGTACCAGTACTCGATAGCGGTGGGATGTGTCTTATCCTCCTCGGCGAGCAGGAACCAGACGAACTCTGTGTAGGACATGCGCGGCTCGCCGTCGGGCGTCAAACGGTTCTGGTTGCCGCGGGTCACGCAGCCCGATAGCACGCGCTCTATCATGCGGCTTGACAAAGCTGGAAGTAATAACAGCATTTACAAAGGAACGCCAGATATAAGTGTAGAATAGTAGACAGTATTGCTTTTGTTTACACTGTGACTAGAGTATTATTTGATTGATGTCTTACCATGGTCGTTGTGTCTAGCGAGGTCGTGTTTATCTATGAACAAGTCGTGATCGCGGTCCAGCTCCCAGAACTTGCAGTAGATCACGTAGAAGTGCTCGTAACTGGAGTTGATAAAAAGCAATTTAGCAAATTTATTTAAAATATGAAATTCAGCAGTAAAAATATAAAAATCACAAACCATAGATAAGAAAAGGAAAATAATTACACACCTAAAATACTGTGTAACTTGATTGATATCCTCTTCGTCTTCCAGCAGCTGTATGACCTGCAGGAGATTCGACCTCCTCAGCTCCGGTATAGATATCCTTCCTGACCACGACCGGTTCACGCAGTAAAATATCCGCGCTATCACCTGAAAAAATTCAAACATTTTAAGGACATCAAACATTTTATATTCTAGATTCTATTCTATTTTATTTTCAAGAATATTCTTACCGTATGCACGTATCTGGAGTGGAATTCCGTGGCCTCCTTCAAGAATGAGAGACCGGGATGTGTGTCGACGACGTCCTGTACGAGGGGCACGAAGTCCTCGGGCGCTAAAGAACTGCTCTTCCCCCGTGTCAGGATGTACACGAACCGGGACGCTAAGTCGTGACACTGTGACGTCATCCTGGAACATACGGGAATCGAATGAGCGTACGCATATTGAATAGATGATCGATGAACAAAAAAAAATTTCTGCAACGAAAACGCAAGATATATAAATGGATCATTACAGATTATATTCAAAATGAACACTAAGGAATTACAAGTAATTACCATAATTTATGGTCAACATTGGTTATTTAGTATCAAGATAAAGAACACTGCTTATTTTTTCTTAATGTACATGATTCTTATTGTAACTCACTCTCTCCAGAAATCGATGAACTTATGTCCGTCAACAGAGGCATGCAGGCTCTGCTGTGTTGCCAGGAACAACGGCATCTTCCAGTACAGTGGGCACTCGCATGCAGCCACTATGTGCTTAAAACTCTCACGAGGAACCTGGCGACAAGCATACATTGTAAACATCTGACCAAAGTAGCACTATGTTGGATCTATATAGAACCGACGAGGGTTGTAGAAAAAAAGATGTGGCAGCATGTAAACCATTAACAATTTAAAACATGACTATGAGACAAGAAGGTTTGGAATTTTTTTTATCATGTATAAACCAGCGCTTGACCACTATCCTACCTAGACCAAAGTGTAGATATGGTCGAAGGATGGCACACGTTCAGGAATCTTGGTAAAAATTACCTAAGTACTTAAAGAGTTAAATGTTAACAGTTTTAGATACTTTTAAATAAAAGTAACATTTAAAAATAATGGGCGTGGAGTGTGTTCAACATTGTTAGCTAAAGCACGTTGGTATTTTTTCTATTCCATAACAATAACCTTTTATGGTAGCTGTAAAGTAAAGGTCAAATGTCCATAGTTCACGTATCGCATGTGAACTGAGAGTAAATGGTAACAAGAAAGGGCAGAATGGCTATAAAATACACTACAGATTTCAATAAAACAGAGTAACTATGTTGATTGCTTTTATTACACCCATTTTAAGATTTAGAAATAACTTTGCTTACTTAATGTATTGATAAGTTTTTGACTTTTTTTAATTATTGATTCTACATATAGTCGAAGGCGTGCAGTGGTCAGACATCTGTCGTGGGCTCGGTTTCCGGTATACGGAATATAGGCCACGATGTCAACAACCATCTTCATTGAACGAATTAAAGAAACGAACCTTTGAAACGAATTGTTTTTATACTATGTTCTTTATTCGCACTAGCAAAATCGACCTTAGAAACTAATATAATAAGGCAGTATTTAGATTAATTCCCACTTGGAATAACATGTATGGAATATCTAGAAAAGGGTGTCAACGTTTAATATTTAAAAGATATTTCGATATAACTTTAGTGAATATCTTTATAGATTCGATAAGACTTACGGGTAATATTTTCGTACTGAAACACCATTTCGAAGATGTTTACGATATAGATAGTATGTTACTAGTAAAAATTTGTACGTAAAGGCGTAATAAAGTTTTTGATGTTTACATAAAACATGTTTTACTGTTGGAACATCCAACAATAAGAAACCAACTATTTTGTGATTAAATTTAGAGTTTTCATCGACAAATTGATGGTTAAACAAACGAATATTTTTAAATGGTGGTATTTGACTTGCCATCTTTATATAAACCGTTACCGTTTGTTATGTTACTTGATTCAAGTGGGGATAGGATTTATGTAATTATTTATATAAATAATACATTAACATGTGTATTTACATAGATACATTGCATTCCATATAGCTTTCTCATTTTCTCCAAGCGATGGTTATGATATTTGTCTGCGTTAGATTTCACAGCGGGTTGTATATCTTGATTTATGTTCGTAAATTGCAGATGTAATATACAACACGACAGCACTAATAACATAGAGAAAAGACATAATGAAAATTATGCAATAATTCTTGTACGTACTCGTAATTTATCAAAGAATAATTGCCAGATATTTGAAAGCATCGTATGAATTTAAAAAAGTCACAAAGCCTTTTATCTCACTACATTGCTATAAGATTTTTAGTGTGATATGGTTTGATGTTGTTGGGAAAAGTCGAGGTCAAAAAGATCATCATTACCTAGGGCTATAAAGAAACGTTTATTCGCATCTATAAAGTATATAATCATCTCTAAAAAGGAGCCGACATTTACATGATGGGGCTTAATGATAAGCGAAATATGGCATCGCCTTTCACTTCGTAGTAATTATCACTTAAAACTTCTTGTTCCTGGTATTACGATAATATCATAAATGAATGTCTTAAATGTCAAAACTCCGAACCCCCAGTAACCTGTTAAAGTGTTTATTTGGTTATAAATACGCTTGCTATTCAAGCCGTAGGTCAATATTTCAAATTCAAATATTGCAGTTCCGTAATCAACAGAATTTGATCTTAATGCCCAACGTTGTTATAATTTAAAAAGTATTTTTTCTGTCCTAATAAAATGCTAAGACTGTACACGTAAATATTGAATCTAAACGGTTGAATCGTAAACATTTGTCTCCTTTACAGCGTGTCTGTCGTTCTTGGAACATCGTTTTCCCTAAAACGGTCCCCTTCCGAGGCCGTTGACCTGCGCGAATTGGGTCACGTCTACTTCGCAAGTAGGGCTGCCAACTTACAATAACCGTAGACCCAAACAATGGCAAAAACAACCAGTGTCTTATCAACTTTTGACTCATTGGAAGACAACAAAAACAAGCATCTATTTGTGGAGCTACATACTACTTACTCTGATTCCAAGAATTCGATGTCAGCTCAAAACGAAGACGTAGAATTGGGGTCAAATCAGAATAGGTGGTAACCCTATTAGAAGGCCTATTTATACCGTAGTCGTCGCCTCGGTCGGCTAACTTTGACAGCTCAGCTACTATGTCTCGACTCGCGACATCCGCTGTCTGGATTATGCAAGAATATTACTGTTATTATTAATAATTTTGATGGTGATAAGTATGCCATACTACTCTTCTAGAATTGATTGAATTAAACGTATTGACATTAGTTACAGGACCCATATATATTATTAAAATTCTGAAATGTCTGCCGATTCTCTGTTTCTAGTCTAGGCAAAGTTAAATCAAAACATTTCATTGAATTTGTTCTACTATAAAGTATATAGCTATAGGCAAGGTGTCCTTAGATTTTGTATGTTCATTAAAGTTGTATCATTTTTATTGTAAATCATAAAAAACAGATGCAATTGCACTAAGATATAAGGTATTCTTGCTCGTTTAGACCCGGGATCATGTTTAATTTGGCTTCTATGTGAATGAGTTTCTTGGAACAAAGACTTGTTCTAAATAACAAGCCGGTGCTGGTGCGTCTATAAACAGTTTTACGGTGCAATATATCTTTACACTGCAACATAAATACGCAATAATGTTGTGTATATTTAATTAGCCAGCTCGTTAGAGATAAAAAATGTCGTTTGGTGCTTATTCTCTATATATGTAGAAGCCGGTTTTTGTTAGGATTCTACGAAATTCACGCATATTCATGGCTTTTTTCTAGTTTCTTTTTCTTAATGTAATCACCGAAGTACCTTTCAAAGGATTATTCTCAACCGTCACTCCACTCTGTCCCCACGTGAAAATGAAAAGTTTCATCCGTCCCACCTTTTAGTACCACTATCACCAATAAGGTGACAGATGGAATTGTATGAAATAAAATAAGTTCCAACCGTCCCCTAGTCGCAAAAAGTGGGAAGGATAAAACTTTCTATTTACATCTATTCCCACGTGGGGACAGAGCGGGGAGACGGTTAGGAATAATCCCTTTCAAAGATTTGCAAGTTGAAGAACTCCAATTTGTTGTGAATTTTCCAAGATCCATGTAATAATATATCGAAGGCCGTATAATATTAATGGTAGCAATAAAATTTACAAGGGACGACGGCCGGAGGCTATTAGAAGGGTCGTCAGTACTCGGTACTGATACCTTAGACTACACCCAATAATAATTTCTTCTATCAATCATCTTTCTTGTCTTCGATTGTAATTTGATTTAGTAAAGTAAAAAAAGAATTACCAGCCTTAAATTGCAGTTTGATGGCTTGAAAAGACCTAAAATTGTAGGGTCTAGGAAACCTTAGTAATTTGGAAGGATAAAATACATAAAAAATTACCTTTTAAGGGCTGTCAACATTTCTAGTCTTAAGGGCGCGGTGAATAATGATGAGTTTATACCTATGTTTTCTGATCCGAGTGAATAATTTGAAATATAACATTGGACCTGTGTCCGGTTTATTGTCTGTTGGCAGCCCTACATCATATCCTTTAAGATGTTGATGCGTTGACATTTATAGGTCAATCTTCGGTTACTACGTGGGAGCGATCCCACAGTCTTGGCAATTTGGTAATCGTTAATTGGTAGTTCTTATTATATAATTATTTTACGTAGTTTTTATGTTACAATTTTTTGCTATATTAAATTGAAGTAGTAATACGGACATGTAATGTTATTTCTGTGAAGTTCTGTAACAGTTTCTATTGCTGAGAATTCCAGACAAAAGTGTGTTGTCTCAGTTTTGTCAGAGATAATGAGCAGGATGACGATGTGGTTTTGGAAAATGTACCAATGGACACTTACCGAGGGTCTATCACGAACGTTTGCGTGACAGTTGCGAAAAACATTCGTAAAGTCAAATGAAATTTGTTGCTCGCGAACTTTCGTGATAACCCCTGTTTATGTTATACTTAAACATATTCTTAAGTAAATAACGATACCACAAACTTGTGAACAAAGTTAATCCACTCCAAACTTAGGCAATATGTTTCAAACATTCGAATGTAGAATTAGGTCGCTGACTATTACAGT